TGTTTTCTTAACTTTTGCAGTCAGTTGTAAGGACATCAGATGTTAGAGTCTCTAACAGAGTTAACAAAGCTTCAGTGACACTCAACAGATATCCTACAGTCTATAACGACCTGACAGGAGAGGTAAGAAATGGCATACTTATTGTGTAGTCATGAAGAATTATCTCTGATCGATAGTAAAGCGTGATCGCTGTGCACTTGACCTCTTAACGGCCTGTTTTGTCTTGTTTTAGATCGATGCACCCACAGTTAAGTGGCTGGACAAGAACCTTTTTATAGGCGAGGAAATCAAAGAGGTTTATGAAGAAATCATAAAGACTATAGGAACTGACCATCTTCTGTTTGATCAGGTGAGTTGAAAGAGAAGGTAGCTTACATTTAAAAGATTACAAATTAAACCTAGAGAATAATTGACGCTCCTCATGGCAAAATACCCAAGCTTGAAGTGGACAAACACTGCTGCATGTAGTGTCCGTGTGATTGTTTTTGAAACTGTTAGAAGTCTTTTTCTTTTCTTCATCGAAAGTTTGAAGTAATATATCAAACACGAAAGACCCTGTTTGACCACATTTCCAACTCCGAGAAGAGAGTTGAAAATGCGACGCGACGCGGATTATTTTTGACGAGCTTTGAGGGGTTTGGAAATGTGGTCAAACACTGTCTTGAATGTTTGATATATCGTCTCAGTCGAAATAAAACTAAGGAGAAAACAGAGAATTAAACCTTAGTAACTGATGCTAAAGAAGGCCTCATATCTAAACCACTGTCACGATTATGATTTCTTTTGTTTTAACTTGGTGAATCATGAATGCCTTGAGAAATAGTAATGAAACATTTTTATCATTACAGGATGCATACGTGGAAAAGAGTGCCGACGATGTGGATGTTAGTCTATGTACCTCATCCTCTTCTCTTGTCAAACCTCGTGCAGAACGTATTCTTAATAAACAACTGAAAAAAGACATTCCTCCACCATGGGGAAACAACGCTGCTGACAACTGGAGAAACAGGTTCGAAAGAAAGAACACTTCAGCTTGTTTTTTGTTTGTTTATTTGTTTGTATTTTTTATCTTATAAGTCTTTGAACTGTGACGAAGAAGCATTCGCCATCTCTAACATTTTAAGCACTGCCACCATATCCCCCTTATACTTATGTTGAACATCTAATTTCCCTTCAAAATATCAGTAGATTGTCATGCAGTCAGGTAATGAGAATATTGAATATCGTTATGAGATAACAACAAATCCTAATAAATAATATAAGGGAAATAGCATAGCCACTTCAAGAAGAATTGGCCCTCCCTTCGGAAGGACGTCCCTCCTCCCTGATCACCTCCTCTCCAAATAGGATTGCTGTACCAGCGGAGCAACTCCCATCGTTGGGTACCCCTCTGATGAATGGTGTGACTCCATTGTGAAAAAAATAGATGGAACACTGGAATATCCAGGATCAAAAACGGTAACCTGGTCAAATAATGTTTAATGTTATTTTGCAGCCCAAAGTTTGGTGGTCTTGGGCGGGAGGACATCTTGCAGGTACGTTAATTAACATATCACTACAAAGCTTACAAGCCTTTCTTTGCCAGCTATGGTGGTAGGCCTATTAGAAACCTGAAGAAGGAACATGCAGCCTGTGGCAAACAGGAAGAGAGTATGTAGCCTGTGGCAATTGTGGGGAAAAAACGGCAAAACTAAGCACGATTAGTTTTAGTTTTCATATCACTGATCAAAGGTACAAATTGATGTGAAGTTTATATGAAATAGTTCATATATGATCTGCGGTTGTAGATGAAAGTGAAGAATGATCATCGCAGTAAATTTTGCAATTTAAGCAATTGGAAAGAAGAAGCCGACTTCTTCTTTCCAATTGCTTAAATTGCAAAATTTACTGCGATGATCATTCTTCACTTTCAAAGGTACAAATTGTATGCTGAGATTGTTCAAGAATAATGCATGAGCTTTGTGAACCACTTACACGGAACACAAAAACAACTGAATTTATTATATGGGAAAACCTGCCACAGTAATAAACTCGGGTTATATTTGTATACTACAGGAAGATTAAACAGGGTTCTTTATTTTTTTTTTATTTTTTTCTTTTGTCAGGCAAAGTTGAAGAAAGGTGATGACAGTGGTCAAGGCAAATCCTACAACTCATGGTTAGCTTGGTGGCGCAGTACAATTACTACAGATGACTTCCTTAAGTTCCTCTCCACGCAGGTAACAGCTTCACTGCCGCTTGTCTAAGATCCTCTTATCTGTGGTCTCGTGACTTACAGTTACAGGTTTGGAGTTCGGGTCCTGGCCTTGAACCTTGTTTCCTCTAGGCAGTTTCTTTATTCTCATGCCTCACTACATTCTATGTAGTGTGAGCCTATATCGGTGAGTTTTCTGTGCACATGGCAAAAATGCTCACCACAGACATGCGAGGGACTATGGTCTGGGTGTCTGGAAAACCCGAATAGTGAATAGCGAACAGCGAATTGCCCCGAATAGCGAATAACGAATAGTACGAATAGTCTCGAATACTGGCGAACAGTTTCGAATAGTGGCCAATTGTGGCAAATACTGGCAAATCGTAGCAAATAGGGTACCCAGTATCTCGCAGTCAACCTCCCAGCAACGTAGGATGGGATTTGCCCCCTAAAAAGCACAGACGCTTATCAGGACAACAGGTGTTTCTAAATGTAATTTCTTCCGTTTTAACCGCTGCAAAAGCGTAAATACTTCTTTATTAGGTTATCCTTGTGTTTTCTGTTTTCTTAACGTCGGCGATGGACAGTCCTAGCCCAAGTACGGAGAAGAAAAGGTAATAAATTCACTGGAATTCTGTTGCTTATCTGGATAATTAATTTAAGCAGGATATTAGATCTAAAGCGGTGACTATTGACGACTATTCGTCACTATTCGTAGGCTCGATTACCAGCCGCTGTTCGGGAAAAGAGCCCGCGCTCCTCCTCCGAACTCACTCTCTTCTCGGGGAGGAACGTAGACCGGACTCGAGAAAGCGGCGGAAATCGAGCCTACACTATTCGCCACTTTTCGCGGCTGTTCGCCACTATTGGCACTATTCGAGACTATTCGCACTATTCGGGACTATTCGCTATTCGCTGTTGGGGTTTTCCAGACACCCCTATGGTCTACACATCTAGGCAGAGTCTTCGATCGATATCATCTTAACTCAGCAATAATTGCAATCTTGTAGGTAACTGCTTCGCTGTTGACTGATTCCACCCACTTCTTTTACATTACTGCGCCTTTCAATAGCATGCGGACTCTAAAACTCGAAGCTCAACCGACAAATGCGTTTTTCGCTATCGTCAATCAAGTGTTCGGCGGCTCCTCTTAGCTTCCGACTACTGCCGAGCGTGCGGTAATCAAATCGTTGAGCACAGGTCAGACAACGAAACAGTGCTCGACAGTAGTCGGAAGCTGGGAGGAGCCGCCGAACATTTGATTGACGGTAGCGAAAAACGCATTTGTCAGTTAAGCTTTGAATTTTAGAGTCCGCATGTTATTGAAAGGCGCAGTAACAAACTGACGAATGCTCTTGAAGTACGTCGATTGAGAGCATTCCAAAAACTCATTCGAAGATCTATTGTGCTATCTGAAGTAATCCGCAGCCGTTTTTCCCATGGCGTTTTTCAGTTTTCGAGGAAAAGTTGAGGCTACTAGTATTCCTCGCTACCATGCACAGTCAGTAACATTTAATTCACGGTGATAGCGCAGAGAACAACTATTTAGGTATGTTTCTTCCAGGAAAACGACTACATGTCTTTGCTGTTCCATTTGTACGACTCTGATCACGAGGCTGATGACGAAGACGATGGAGACGAGGCTCGTCCTGACACCATTCAAATGGCTTTGTTAAGGTAACCGCTGGCCTGCAGGGCAGGCGTTTCTTGGTAAAGGACAAAAGTTAACGATCGCTTATGAGGGGCGCGAATCAAAAGAAAGCTAAAGACGTGGAGGTGAAGATTCTGTTTCACGACTGGATGTTTCAATGCTTTTAAATGAGGGCCTTACGTGCCACGAAGAGGGCCAAAGCTGAAGGTGTTTTACCGAATGAGTAGCTCTAAGAATTAGATGGATTAATTAAGCTCAATTTTAATTAGTTTTGGTTATACTATTTTGTTGTACTAAATTCCAGCGATCTCTATTCTTAGGGAACGAGAGAAAAAACTAGCCGAACTGAAGTCAATAAAAACTGAATATCAACCTGGCGTGTGGAATGTCAACAGCGTTCTTTTGGGAGGGCTTGGAAACGAGCCTGATGTGGATGGTAAGTAGCTCTGTCACAACTACCTTCAAAAGAGGATTTAAACCTTTCAGAGCTCTACACAGTGTTTAAAGAAAATCTAAATAAATTTAGTATAAATCACGAATGCCGCTCTCTGATTGGCTACACTACTCACTATGCATTCTGTGATAGATAGTGAGTAGCGTAGCAGTGTGCGCTTGTTAACAATAGGACGGCCGCTTCTTGGCAGTTTCGAAGTGTCTGTGAAGAGGATTTAGATAAACTTTTGAACGAATAGTCGATTTGTACTAAAACAATTAGATTATTCGCTCTCGATTTCTATGCGTGATAGTTGACTTTGGCTGCGCCCTCCTCAACTATCACTCGATAGAAATCTCGAGCATATAATCTAATTGCTTAATAGAGCTCAAGATCGACTACAACGGTTTTAAACACTTTCCCGCATGTACAGAGCACATACAACCACCGTCCTTTTTTTTCTGACTTTCAGACTCATATTCTTTGTTTCATTACTGCTCGATGGTATAGTTATCTTCGGTAAAAACGTTCAACGTTTTTACTGAAGGTAATCCCTACTATGATTGTTGCATTGATGACATGACCTACCTGTCCTTTGTATACCATTGGAGCGGTGGACAGGTGTCTTTGAGATAACAGTAGTGGCTTCAAGAAACGTGTCACACTTATTTAGCGTTTCTTTTTTAGGTAAGCGCAAAATGTACTTTTTTCAGACTTGATTATTACCTTTAACTATTTGGTAGTTTGGACAAGTCTTTAATAGTACTATCGTAAAGTTAAAAGCTTATCTTTTTTACGAGGGACCCTTTGTATTCTTCTGTTCCGGGCGTTTTGGTGGTAGATGAAAAGATGTGGTTGCATTCGTTTCAAGGAACCTTGAAGTTCATTCTCGGGTTCACGTTTGACTGTCCAAAACACTGCCATACCCTTGGTTGTGTACGCAGCTTTAAGCAGGCAAATGTTTCTATTTTCTTCGGATTTCTTAGAGGAAGAGCTCCTGGCCAATCTTGAAGACACATTCCTGCCCGTGCGATCGGTCACGCCATCTAAACAGTCAAGTGGAGCAGTCGCCTCGCCGTCGGCTCGTTCTTTTGGAAGTGTCAAGTCTTCGGCATCAAGAAGCGCGACTCCAAACTCTGACCAGCAAAGGCTGGAGAAATTGTTCAAGGCGAGCTCTGTTGGGGTCATACCGCAGCCTGCTGGTAGCATTTGCGGCGGGGACACTGTCAGTACAAGTGAGGTAAGTGGCTCTGGGGAATTTCTGCAGGTGGACTCTTCTCTCGGGAGGGTCATGAGGAAGACGACGGGATCTCGTCTCTTTGCTGCACGGAGAGCCTGCTTACGGGCTTATTGTGGATTGTTCATAAGACATACCTTTCCTTCAGAAAGATGAAGTCTGGATCTCGCCAAAGAGCTCTTTACCACCGGAGCTTGTCCTGGTGTCTGTAGCACAAAGCGAGTGCGAGAATTTGAACTAACCTCGCCTCCGGATGGGATTCTAGTCCATCGTAGAATTCCCTCGGGAATTAGGTCGATGTAGCTCTAGCAAGTAGCTCAAGAGAAAATCACAATGAACCCAAGCCAGGCTGAAATCTCGATCCCTCGATGTTCGTCCTCTATGTTGGACGCGGTGNCCCCCCCCCCCCCCTGGCTTCACCTACGCCTTGGTCGAAAGAAGCAGTATGAGAGTCGCCCAAGCACACGCCATAATGTCCTCGATCACCACTAGGGCCACTCGAACCAGGGCTTCTCGATTCGGTGTCCAGCCTATTACCCATAAGATGCCACGCGTCCCAAATTTGATCAGAGGACCTAACGTTGATGCGACTTTTCATTTGACTTATATGCAGTCTGTTGTTTATTAGGCTGCGTCATTGTCTCCGCAAGATCGCTTGGAAAGAGTTTGGACGTTACTGTGCATGCCTGATGCACAAAGACTAGATATGGCCATCAAATACAGCGCTGAACCCTACAGTAACAATCTCCTGGAGGTGAGTGAGATGACGCTTTGTTTTGTCTATCTTGTGTGATTTCAAGTCTTTTTTAAGGACTTTGCAAAATTGCTCCCTGTTTTAACTTGACTATGCTAGAAACAGGAGAAAATCACTAGGAGAGTCCATGCGTTTAGTTATTCTAAATTCTAAAAATAGCTTTTACTATCTTATCCGCAAATTCTTCTTATGTTACTCCAAGCATCGAAGCTACTTACTAAATGAATGGTATTCAAGATCAGTGGAGATCTTATGGATCTATTTAACGCTGGTATTGACATTACTTCAGTGCCAGTCAACTAGGCAACTACTATCTTATCCGCAAATTCTTCTCACGTTACTTCAAGCATCGAAGCTACTTACAAACTGAATGGTATTCAAGAACAGTAGAGAGCATATCGATCTATTTAACGCTGGTATTGACATTACTTCAGTGTCAGTCAACTAGGCAGCTTATAAGCTGTTTCAACATTGCAGACTTTAACGTTCTGGGAGATTGCTACAGAGGTGATTTTACAGCGCGAGAGTTTAATGACAAAGCTAGAAGACTTTGAAAGAACTGCTTCAGATCCCAACAGATTCTTCGCGAAAGGTAAGCTCGATATGAACTTGCAAAACACCCTTCAGTTGGTGATTTTAACGTGCCATGTGTTAATCCTAGATAACACTGGTTCATCCGCCGCAAGAATTAGAGAATCCAAGACAAGGGACTGGTTTAATACGGTAATACCAAATATCTTCTGTCTATTCTAATGTAAGGTTTTTAACGTTGTGGTGTCAAAACAAAACTATCTCTAGCTTAAGTTGTTTGTATTTATTTTGATTGATAATCTTTGTCATTGCATAAACTATGGAGGTATATTAAACAACACAACCGTATATTCTCAAATTTGAAGTTAATATTCGGTACTAAAGTAGTGCCAGCGAAGCTGAGATTTACTTGAAGTTATTAAGGACGTTCGCGCGAAAATTTTCCAGTCGATAGATTTTTTTAAAATTTTTACTTAAGTCAGATAATGAGTTACTTGTGTCAGAAATGCGAAAAAAAATTGGGGGTCACGGACTTCGTTTCAGAGATAAAGCGTGTTGAAAACTACCCTGATTTTGAAAAATTGGCGTACGTAATTCAGCATGGTCTACAGGGGT